ATATGCGGAGCTACTTTCGAGTGAGTTCTTTTTTGTTATATCAACATTAAAATGTATAATATTTATTCTACTCAGTAAAGTTACCAAGAACGTAATACTTACTGCATGACAAAAACGGTTTGTATCTATTGTTATTGATACAAAGATAATTCCTTCGATCTGGCTGGATTTGAACCAGCGTCTGTTGCCTAACCGTGGCTACCGCTGTTACCAATTTACTCATTGAGCACAGGGTAGAATTTTTTGTTTATCAAGTAATTGTTCAGTAGATATAATAGTACGTTGTGTGTTAAGGACGGATTAGAATGGAGATAGAAATTAGAATGCTTTTCATCACATTTGCGAGGAAATAAGCACAACGTTTCTGTCTTGTATGAATAAATATGGTTCACAACACAACTGTTATGGATTTATGGAAAATCGAACTGAACTGTAAAAAGCAAAGACGCAATGACGGATTGTAAAAAAAATTAGCTAAATATTTATACAGAAAATTAATAGTCGAAGTCTGATTAGGAAGTCGAAGTCCGATTTTAAAATAATTCTAATGGTGCCATGTAAAAAAATGCAGTAGATAACTGACCTTTTACCAAAGCAGATAATAAAAAGTAACGGGAATGATCACTCTCCGCCCCTCCCTAGCTTTAGACACCGCACCGCGTCCCGCATATTGACGATTAATGTGTAACGGACCGGCAACAAAGCTGTCAGTTATCTACTACGTTTTTAATAAATACAACATTCTACATTTTTTACATGGCACTATTAGAATTATGTACTTTAAAATCCAACTTCGACTTCCTAGGTCAGTAGTTTGCCCTACGATGTAATAAAACGAAAAAGTAATTAATTTAGTGCAGCAAGACAATGTCTTTATGTTGCTCCTTGCAGCTATGTCTATACATGTATATACGTGGAACACCTTTTTCCGATCATTGGTAAACTATATAGTTCTCCCATCGACAGCAAGTCCACCAGCCACCTGACCCACATCCGTCTCCAGCACCCATCGTCACACGCGTGTGACGTGTGCGGGGAATCCTTCTTGGGGGACAACGGGCTGAGGCTGCACAAGAAGAAGGCGCATAAAGATGTGAGCAATGTGACGGAAACTGGGCAAAATTCAATTAACAGGATTCATCCCCTAATTTGCCACCCTTATGGAATTTTATTTTTCAAATCAACGTCAAAGCCATCATTCATTCCATTGGTAAAATTTTTACACTTGAAAGCGTCATTTTTTAAGCTACTGCTCGTTCACTACGCTGACCTCCCGGAGAAGAACGAGCAAGAAACTCTAAGGATTGCTCTTTTCAAATTTAAATTTACATGCTATAGAATACATTTTGAATCAAATCTGTGTGGAATCTCACTCACGTTGTCTTTCCATCTTTATCTAACACGTAGTCTACAATTTTGTAATATGACTTTTCTATTAAAATACTTTTAATGTAAGTTTTAAACTTAGGAAATGGTAAACTTAATATGCTTCGGAATCTTATTGTAAAAACGTATACAGTTCCCTATAAAAGAATCGTTTACCTTAGTTAAACGAAATCGTCGTACCATGAGTTTGGACTTAGTTCTAAGGTTAATATTACGGATATCTTCTTTCTTAACGAAATTATGTATATTTTTACGGGCATACAAAATATTTGAGTAAATGTACTGAGATGCCAGTCTTGATACCAGTCTCCTTAAACTTTTCTCTGAGAGAAATCCCAGAACGAATTGCTCTTTTTGCAACACAAATATGGTTTGTATATCTGCCGCTTTACCCCACGTGAGAATCCCGTAGGACATTATACTATGGAAGTAAGTAAAGTAAGTTTTAGGTAGTCTAGCAGTAGCAACATCGGTAAGCTCACGTGTTCTACGGACTGCGTATGTAGCAGAGCTTAATCTGCTGGCCAAGGAAGATGTATGTGGAAACCATTGGAGTTTACTATCTAAGCCCACTCCCAAAAAGACAGCTTTATTAACAAGATCTAACTTCTCTGCATTTATTTCTATGATTGGGCTAGTCGATTTTACATTAGGTAATTCAAATTTAACACACTTTGTCTTCTTGGCGTTGAGCAATAAATTGTTAATATTAAACCAATAAACTACCTTTGAAACGTTATCATTAATATTGTCATAGTTAACGTAATGTCTGTCTGTTTTAAAAATCAAAGATGTGTCGTCAGCAAACAATACTATTTCGCAAAGGTCCTTAACAAAGAATGGTAGATCATTAATATAAATGAGAAAAAAGCAAAGTCCAAGTATTGAACCCTGCGGAATACCCATTTTTACCGGAGAACCCAAAGAAGTTACCCCAATTTTTATAATTAAATTTGAATGGTGGCGGCACACACAGTGAGCAGCGTTCGTTCGGCTCGTTCTTGTTTTTCACACGCAGATTTTTATAATCTATCGCCATGACCGGTCGCGGTAAGGGAGGCAAGAGTCTGGGAAAGGGAGGAGCGAAGCGTCACAGGAAGGTACTCCGCGATAACATCCAGGGTATCACCTATCAACAAAAAGTATCATCGAAATCTGTTTACACATGTCAGAGTAATCGCGTAAAATACACAAAAAAGAAAAGAATACAATCGAATTGAAAATGTCCTTCTTTTTTGAAGTTGTTAAAAATGCTAGTCACACCTGTAGCATGGCAGAATATGTGTGATAAACCTCCCCGTGTCAATAATTAATTCAGTTAATATAATCTAAGTTTGCTTATTTGGTAATTAATTATTCTTATACATTTTGAAGAACAAGGACAACGATATGAAATTACGTATATCTTTGTCGTTTAATCATCGTCGCGAAAACCATGAAACAAAAAATGCCTTTTCATCTCGTTTGTCGCGCTTAATTTTTAAGTTGAAAAAATTACTGTGCAAATGCTTTAATATCAGCTGTGACCTTGCAGCCATGTTTGGCATTGTATTAATCTTTTGTAGTCATTGGCCGCCGGCGCTCGCGATAACATAAAAATGTGACGTCACGGTGCTTGCCATGTTCGCTATTGTGATAAAATTTTTAAATGCCGGTTTATCACTCGAATTTGACAGCTAGATGTAGATATAATTGCTTTATCAAGGCGGCATACTACGGGGACTGGTTTAGTCTGTCGAAGACATGTGGGTGAATGTTATACCTTCAATGTTTTATTGTTGTTGTCTTTGACCGGACAAAGTGAAACAACTTATTTTTAACCGTATTGAAAAAAAGAGGAGGTTCTCAATTCGACTGTATTTTTTTGTGTATGTTACGCAATTACACTCCAACATTTGATAATTCTTTTTTTTGTGGGTAAGGGAGTACCTCAGTAATGACCCATTGAAATTGGAAGAAAATATTCCACCTCTAAGGGTGGTAAATTAGGGGATGATCCGGCTTACAGGATTTGCACGTAGATGTCATTCCAATGAAAATAAAATGTCATGGTGACCTAGAACTCATCTGGTGACGGATGATGGAAATGGCCGACAAATGAGAGGATCTCCTCACTAGTATAGTGTATAGCTACCTGGTGTTTGGCCTCATATTATTAGTTTTGTACCAGTCAACTTCTATACAACCTGCATTTTCACAAATAAATGATCGCTGGACATCCACACATTTTGTTCCAGGATTCTGGGGAAAACAAAGAAACAAAGTGCATGATGTGCGGCACGAGCTTCCGGAACTCGCCAGCGCTGGAACGCCATGTTGCTGGACAGAACGGCACGTGCAACCCCGACCTCCGGCCGTGTGTCCACTGCGGAGAGAGCTTCGTGTCGGTAGAGTTGCTTGAGGATCACGCCAGGTGTCACCAGAAGGACAAAACGGTTAAATGTATTGAGGTAATAATATTAATGATGATTATGATCGGGGTTTCTTAAAAGTAACCCGGTGACATAATTCGAATTGTTTTGTCTGCAAACGGGTTAATTTCAGTAGTAAGAAAAAAGGCCCGAGGGTTTTATTTCGGGCATTACATTCAAGTTAGCCCGCATGCAATCATACTATTTACGTGCAAGTGTGATGTGAAACTTATTATGCAGCTACTGTGTACTTGGATGACAAATAATCTCAGTACAGAGTACTAAAAAAACCGACCTCAAAAGTACGTGGAATTACGTCTATTTGCTAAGTTTTATTGAAATATCCCCTAGTTCGCCACTATACAGGACTTGACACTGGAGATAATAAAAGTAGGTTCTCACTACGACACTACTCAAAGTATATTGAGAGGGAAACGCCTTGAATTGGAGAAATAGCAAAATCAACAATTAAAATAATTGCTCCTAAATTAAAGTTAGGCGCTATTTATAAAAATGAATCTTCATGCGAGAACAGCCACCCTTAGAGGTGGATGATTTTCTTCAAAATGAAATGGGACCACTATGGAAGTACCCCTTTTCCAACAAAAAAAGAATCATGAAAATCGGTTCACAAATACCGGAGTTATCGCGTAACATACATACAAAAAAAGAAAAAAAAAGAACATACAGTCGAATTGAGAACCTCCTCCTTCTTTGAAGTCGGTTAAAAACCAGTTCTAGTAGCAGTGAGTGCCTTGTGAAAGAGTTCGTCCAGGAAAGTACTGCCACCTTACCTAGTTCTGTCGCCAAGCAGTAATGTCAGCATTACTGTGGTCCGGTTTGGAAGGGTAAGGGTGCTGGTGAAGTTACAGGCACACGGGATTTGTCAACTTATGTCTCAGGGTGACGGGCAATGGCAGTGCCCCTCAGGTCTTTGTAATTTAAAGCTCTGAATGGTACTGCAACTGTTGTGGACACACTTGTATGTAAATAGTATGATTGCATGCGGGCTAACTTGAATGTAATGCCCGAAATAAAACCCTAGGGCCTTTTTTCTTATTACTGACCATTGCTGTAATAAGAAAAGAGGGCCGAGGTTTTTATTTGGGTCATTATAGTCAAGTTAGCCTGCATGCAACCATACCATCTACGTGCAAGTGTGATGAATAAACTTTGTATGTTTCGCGGGCGATACGGGAATTACGAACCTCGACTCCGAACGCCCTCAGTCTTCAACGTCGGGCTTCTCAGCACCTCATTTGTGATTCCTTACTGATCGCCCTTAGTACACAATGTACTATTAGTGTAAAGTTTTTGGTTCACTGAAGTTCTAAACCTCGTGTCAACCGAAATCTTATTATAGAATCGTATACATTGTTCTTATTGTTATATTCAAGACATTTACCTACTTTTTTAACTCACCGTACAGTGCGATCGGGTCTTCGCGCATGCGCGTTCTTTCTCCATCCACCACCAACGCGTCCATTTGGGAGTCAAGAGCGTGCAGCGAAGGAAGATTACCCCGTCTCATAGCGATTCGGCGGTTTGCGAACTCTGCGGGAAATCTTTTATTGTGAGTGTACATACAGTCACACATAATACACAAACACACACCACAAAACATGCACTTCTGAATATATAAACACTTTGGCTCCGGTGAATACTTGTAATATGTTGCCATATTACAAGCCTCTGTTGCACTAGTCCGTACTTGAGAGTGAGCTCTTGGTGTAATATTTTCGCTGCCTGGTTGTGTCTGTGCAAGTACTCAGTGTTAGCAAGAGCGGAACAAATGTCTACTGTGCCGTCCTTTAGGATATATTTCCGATAGTTCTGCGTCTTGATAACCTGATCCTGTATTGCACAGACAACTAGGGAAACCCTGTGTCGCGGGTGCCATGAACACACACATAGACAACCACAAATTACACCCAAACTCACGAGAGAAATAATTGTAGGCCATACAACTATTTCTCCCGGCCCGGGAATCGAACCTGGGACCTCTGCGTGGCAGTCCGGCATGGTAACCGTTCGGCCACGGAGGCAGTTAAGGCAGATACTTTACGTACGAGGGGTCGATATTAATTTGTGTGCTCGTGAGATTATAAGAAAAATGCAATCTGTGTGTGTAGTCCCGCGCGACCTTGGTGTACCATCAGCGGACGCATACCGGCGAGAAGCCCTACCAGTGCAACGAGTGCCCCAAGAGGTTCAGCATGTATCAGAGACTGCAGGTACATTATTCTATAATTACTATACAATGTGTTGGTTTGCATTCTCGCCATATTTACAGAGGTTATTCTATATTCGAGACTGAAGCCCAATCACTAAAAAAATAAATCTCAAACAAAAAAAAACAAAATTTTTATTTTTTATTTAATTGCGGTAAACATCGATTCTCAATCACCTGATCCAAAGGTCATTGAACTTTTGCACGGCACGTGCTATCACACAGCAGACCGAGAAAAGAGAAGTCAATGTTGTTATCTTTTTCTCAAACGCTCACACACTGGAATAGCCGCCTAACATCGCCGCAATCAATAATTTGATCAACTCTATCTAGTCTATCGTGAATTGCGCTCGTGGTTTGTTGTGTTTTCTACAAGGTCGCAAATAAATAAACTATAATAATGATGCAAATACTATTTCTTGCACATAGAAGATTACAATAACAACTCAGCCTTAAAGTTTTCTTCCAGACATAATGGATAGAAAACTAAGGAGATGCGAAGGAGTATATAATGAACATGTTTGTAGCAATAATATTAATTTTATTTGTAACAGATTCACATCAGAACACACACAGGCGAGCGCCCCTTCAAATGCTCTCAGTGTCCCAAGGGGTTCAAACACAAGGCAGCTCTAAACAGACATATCAGGGTGAGAAAACTAGTTGTCTATTACATACAAACTTTAGTTTATACCTAGTGACGGGAACGAACAAGTCGTGCGCTTGCTGGCAAGCGTGCTACCCACTACAGTGTTGCCAGACTTTTTACGAATTGAATTCGCCAATTTATGTGTGTTAAGTAGCTGATATTCGCCCCTAAAAATCAAGGAAAATAATTCTGCTTGCTCCCGGACATTGGGGAATATAATTCTCTTAATTTCCCAATTCCCCACACGTAGAAATACTCAAACCCCTAAACGAGTTATTTTACAACTCCATTCCTCACAAAATCCCCAGTCAAATTTGTATTTACCCAGACATTTTTATTAAGTAGCCCAAAGTTGCCTTTTCCTATTTCAATCATAACCTAAATATCGCCGAGTCGCTGCACTATGGAAAATCGAGGTCTGTTTCAGATCAAAAATCAATAACTTTCTTATTTGTTAAGATAGACTATTGAATTTTTGCACAAGCATAGAGTATTAAATATTGCTTTAGTTAAAGTTCAGATGCTATATTTTTATAAGAGTATGTTTATTTTTGAAAAGAAATGAAAAAATATATTTCAGAAATAGCTTTTATTTGATTTCCTTAAGGACAACGCTACTTATATTATTAATAAAAATGTATTATTACATTAGTTTTTTAAAAAACAATCATTAAGCTCTTATCTGTTTAATTAAGAAATTAAAAGTAATAAGATTGCAAACACGTATAGTAAAAAAAGTTAAAAAATACTAATTTAAAAGTAAAATAATGTATCTATGTCAATGTGTATATTATGTTTTATTACACTTGTTGAACTTCAGGATCCAAAATGAGTTCATTCACTTTTAAAAGATCCAGGGTATCTTCATCAAGTGCCTTCACACTTTTGCTATATGTTTTTCTAAGACTGGGAATGTACGGATCTGATGTGTAGAGAAGAGTATGAAATACATCCTCATTAGTAGCTGATCGAGAGCACTTCCTGGCTTGATGTAGGCGAAATTTTTTATAATCCTTATTACGGGATTCTTGTGCATCTTCGGAAAGTTGACCAATAGGAATTACACCAAAATGCTTAATGACACTTTCACCATGAATCAACATTTTGTGTACTGAAGATGGCATGTAGTGCCATTCATAATTACTTACATAAATCCTGGCAGTTTCCATGGCATATTTGCCAAATTTTTCTGCATTTATCTTTACGCCTGATGAAAGAGCTTGTAAAATAATATACAACCTTTTGATCAAATTCACATCTACTCCGGTGATTTCAGAAGAACGATTTGCGTTGTGAAAAAATCGTCTAGCAGTATTACCGTCATTGGTATTACCACTTCCTTGTCGTGGTTTGTCGATGATCAATCCTAGCTCCTCCCGAAAAAGTTTTTGTACTAGGGTTTTCTTTTCTTGCTTTTGTCTTTTCTTTTCTTCACTTGTGCCTGACCATGTCCGAAAAGAAAGATTATATGAGATATGTAATACCATTTCCATACAACGAATCCAGGCATGCAAAGGGGAAAGTCCGTATTGATATGCATTTTCATTTTCTGGCCTACTAGTGACTTTAGTCAGATCATTCATTTGCCGTGGAGTAGCTCCACAGATTGTACACGTGGATCCAGATGGTGTATCTGTTAATACTTGAGCTACTTAGGGATCTATCATAGTCAGAAAGAGTTCGTGCTTCACATTCACTCCTTCACCTTCTTTATTAATTAATGATGGCCGCAAGGAAATTATTTGGTTCTTTATTTCGTCAACAACAGCTTTAGTTTTTTCAGGAGTTTCTTTACAAAATTCTATCGATATGGGCCGACAAAAACGGACTGACGAAGGCACTGGATTTTGCCAGACAATGTCGCCAGTAAGCTCATTGACTAATTTAATAGGCACTAACGACGTAATAAACAAATTTGCATCAGAAACAAGTTCAGACTCCTCTGGAAGTTTTTGTTTGTACTGACTTTGACCAGATGAACCATTACATCCCCATTTACTGTATAAAACTAAATGACACAATCATTGACTTACAATTATATGGACGTCGGGTCCGCGCTAAAAAGTGTCCGAACTTTTAAGGCGTTAAAATCGTATACAGAGCGTCATTCACGCTTTAGTCTTCGTTTGTTCGGCTGATAGCGAAGCAAGCAAAATTAGACAGTACTGCGATGACATTACAATTTAAATTCAACGTTTTAGCTTTTTCATATTCCTTTACATGTCACTACGTTTAAATAGGTTGACTTGGGACATTTTTTCGTGGTTTTTGTATTAGACCCGTCGTCCATTCATTTGTAAGTCAATGGACACAATCCATTTTATACACCGAATCTATGGCCAAAATCCTAGCTACAGTGTGGTCCAATAAATCTTGAAGGTTTAGTACTTTTGCATGTGTATTTGTAATTTCTATTGCTGTAGATGGTGGATAACATGTCTGTTTGATTTCTTGTATTTTATAAAATGGTGGGAATAGAACACAGTCTCGTTCGGTTGTTAAATTCCTTAAGTACATATATATATATTGTGCTTTCGTTAAATCTAAGTCAATGAAAACACTCAATGCTTCTTGATTTTTTGCCCTTTGCTCTCGCTTGCGATTTCTATGAGATTCAAATATAGAGACTTTGTATCATCACGGTCAGCAAGCCTTAGTTTTTCCACGAGTTTTGCTTCTATTTCTTCTCCTATTGAACGTAAGCCCTGAACATAGGCATTGCAAATGCCTTTTAAAACTGTTGATAGGGTTTCAAGTTTTTTTCCTCGTTCAATGTAAGAGTAATAATTCACGCTTGGAACACTTGAAAGAATTTGACATTTTGAAATTCAGTGATGATACGTAACAATCAAACGTCTGTTTAGTTTTATTATCAATTTGTAATAGCTTTATTAAATTAATTCACTCTTATATAATTTCATAAATGAGGGTAGTGTGCATTTTGTTGATTAAAGTAGTACCACAAAATAAGTGCAAAATGTAGACAAAACGCCCTGTTATCAATAAATACCTATAATTTATTGAAATATACCGCAAACGAATCAATTCAATAGTACAACATAAGAAACCACTATAGATAGCGGTTTTCCGTTTCTTATATCGTAGTTTTCGCGATAACCTCTAAAACCGCACGTATCCGCAGCTGATTTTTATAAATGTTATTTATGAATATCCGAGCTATAAAACAACACCAAATGTAAAGCACCGGGAGACATCGGTAACTGTCAAAAGTCTCGATGAATTTCAAATACGTACCTTTTTTCCCCCTCACTTTTTGTAATTTTTTTTTATAGAAAAATAATCAAACAATCCACAACATTATAATTGCTTTAAAATCTATATACTATGGGCTTTTTAGACATGCATAACACTTTATATATATTCTCACAAGTTTTTGAAAAAAATGAAATTTAAAGTATTGAAGCGAACAGACCTGAAATAGACATTCTTACGAATTACAATTTCTCACATTAAAAAATATGTATTCCAAATGCAATTCACGCAAAATTTCTACATTATATTAAAGTACCACTCTAATACAATTTAAAAAAAAATAAAGTGCGTCAGTCGTTATTGAGTTAAGTAAAAAGTATTTTTGATATGCCGTTGTTCTATCACTTTCCATAGTGCGCCGATCACTTTTTTAGTCGCCGCACAACCCGTCCAAGTAGCCCCAATGACGAAAAATCGCTGAATTTGGCATCCATGCTCCACTAGCATCGGTGTCCGTAATTGCGAAAATTAAAAAAATATTGTCTATGGTATTACTTACTTTGACCCGTTGTTATCGTAAGCGGCATAGAGTTGTATTTAAGTCTTCAGTGTAAACTTCAGTGCACCACATACTTTAAAAAAAGGCGGTATAATAAACGAAAGTACTTTGAAGGTCTTTTTTGTTGCCTTTACTTTTTACATTTTTTTCGCGAAGATGAGTTCCGGTGAGAAGTGCGCAAATATGTACAATAATGAACTAATACTACGCCTAATTTAAAATATTTGTCATGGATTTTACGTTTTTAACCGACTCCACAAAAAGGAGGAGGTTCTCAATTCTTCTGTATTTCCGTTTATGTATGTTGCGCGATAAATTTGTGAGCCAGTTCTTTTTGTCGGAAAGGGGGTGCCTCGGTAATGGTCCCGTTTAAAATTGAAGAAAATACCTCTAACGGTGGCAAACTAGGGGATGAATCCGGTTTCGCACACTTTCTGGTAACCGATTTCAATCAAACGGCGAAATCAATACAACTTGGCAAATAGACGTAATTCCACTAACTTTTGAGTTTGATTTTTTTAAATTATAAAGTTACAATTATTTATTTACAAATTCTCCTTCATTATTCAGTCTTTTATTATTTGCTCGCATTATTTGAGAAAAGCACTATATATGCGTCGGTGGGAACGGGCTTTGCCTGTCTTGTATAAAATAACTCATGATCGTCCGGCAACCCTTTACTTCCCGGCCTATGCAATATAGTACATTATTGTAGAAGCAGGAAGTAAGGAATTGCTGGACGAGTATGAGTTACAAGGCCGAGCGCGAGTGAGGCTTTGTATTAATACGGGTCAAGCAATCCCCGTTCCCGCCGAGACTTATATAGTGTTTTTCTTAAACAATGTTAAGAAATAATAGAAGACTATAGAGAAGAAGATGTATATACTTAATAGAAAAACTAAAAACAATGTTAAATAAAATTAAAAGTAATATTTGACGTATTATTTGCAGGCAGTTTTGTTATCTCTTCTCACTAGAACTTATTTTCGCGACGAACATAAAAAAGGCCAAAAAAAGAAAAGAATACCAAAGCACTTTAGTTTAATAAGCCGCTTTAAAAAAAATTTTTAAATTACGGTACAATTACGAACACTTGGCAAATGGCTGTATGAGTTTTTCTTTTGCCTGTTTACATAGTTCATTATTATTATAGTCCATTTGTTTAGGTACTTAACTAAATGTAAACAATCTTGATACATCTTTTTATTGAAACACATGCTTTACAAATCAATAGGTATAAAAATAGGCATGCAATTTCATATGAAGCTTCCGTGTTCGTTTTTTCAGAGTAATGCAAACATTTTCGAGCATGTTTGAGAAAATGTACTATTCCCCACAGGTACATACAGGAGTAAAACCCTACGTGTGCGTGCATTGCAATAAGGCGTTCTCTCAGTCGAATTCGTTGAAGACACATATAGCAACAGTGCACCTCAAAAGGCCGGCGCCCTACAGGAAAAGTGGACGCAAGATTGATTACCTAGAATGAGTTACTGTAACTGTATTATTGAATTACAGGGTTCGAAATTACCAAAATATTAATTTTCTTTGATAATTCGATAATTATCTATAGTTTTAATTATTAATACAAAGATATATTATAGATTTCTCACAGATGGTGCTACTGCAAAACGTCGTTAAAAACCGAAACAAAGTCCGCTGGTTCGGTCCATGGCTTAGTTAGCATAGCTTCTAGCATGGTTTGTTAGAAGATGCTGGTTCGAATCAGGCCGGATCGAAGGAATTTTTTCTAAGTGTTCGATCTTTTTATTAATAATTGTTAATGATAATTATCTGATGTTTATTCGATAATTATTCGTAGTTTTGTCTCTTTAATTTCCGATTAAAAATGAAAATACTAACATATTGTATAAAAAAGAAATCTATAATTGAAGACCTTCGGAACAAAAACCGATACGTCACATTTTGAATGGTTTATCTTCTTTAGTAGTAACTTCCTTGGTAACGGTAGTTTTTGTACGTTTCTATGAATAATTTGTCTGCTAAATCCTTCTCCAAAATACGTTTCAGATGCGCGTATCCGTTTAAAGAGAGAATCGAAATTTATCGGATTTATTGGTTTTTGTTCCGAAGTACCTCTAATTATTATTATTATTTTATTACTTCAAAACTACAAAACTGATATTTGACACGTTTGGATACCTATGTGACACGAAACATAGCCAGCGGTAGCATTTTATTGTTCCAATTAAGGCTCAATTTACGGCGGGACGGAATGGAATGGAAGCGTCAGTTTCGCTTCGCTGCGCGAGAAGACGCGCGCGGTCGCTGGACTGCTGAGAAGGAAGACGGACGACGCGTGACGTGATTTTTGACTCGTAACTAGTTTGTACGTTACACAATTACCCATAAGTTCATTATGCTATGTACAATATCGTTACAAAAATTCACTTCCATTCCGTTCCGCCGCAATATAAATTGAGCGTAATTTTATAAATCGCACATTACAACTAACATAGTTATAACATACTTGTCTTAAAATGGCTTTAAGTTATATTAATATTACCTATTTAGTTTTAAAGCGACAGTGTTGTCCTGTCACTTTGAAATTAAATCGTATTTGAATGACACATAGATATAGCGAAGTTTTGGAGACAAATTATTAATATAACGCAATTTTGAGACAAAATACAACATAACACAATTTTTGAGATAATATTATGTTAGTTGTCAAGTATGAAATATGAAAATAATTATCAAGGCATCTTTATTTACGATAATTAAGTATCACTTCGAACCCTGTTGAATTATAGCAAATGTTTTTATTTATTTCGTATCAAAAACAAAATTAAAATAACCTAACCTCAAAAGTGATTCATCCCCTAGTTTGCTACCCTTAGAGGTGGAATATTTTCTTGAAATTTAAATGGGACCACATCTGAGGTACCTTCTTTCCAACAAAAAAAAAACGACATACAGACGAATTGAGAACCTCCTCCTTTTTTTGAAGTCGGTTAATTACTTTCATTTATCATTAAAATCAATTAAATAAATGATACACAATTTAAAATAAAACGAACAAAGAAAAACGGAACAATAAGTATTCTTAATAGTATTTTATGTTAGGTATGTACATATGTACGTATGTGCACATATTATGTCAATGGTTTTATGTATTAAATTATTTTTTGCCAATCTTTATTTGTGTAATCATTTGTTCCATTATTACCACTTTCCATACAATCGACGGTTCCGCCAACGCCAATTTTAAGGCTAAGAGTGTTGGTGAAATCACAGGTACATGGGACTTGTCAATGTATGTCTCAGGGTGGTTTTCGATTTAAAGCTCTGAGTGATATTGTAACTGTTAGGGACACGCGTGCAGCTTACCATCAGGCGCACGAATCGTTCGTCCCGTCAATTGATATTATAGAAAGAAAAGACGCGTTTTTACTCAGATTTTGACCGGTGGACTTCGACAGCAATCTTCACTGATAAGAGAATTTATAACAACAGACAATACAAATATTTACAGAAACAATTTTTCAATTTTAATAATGCCTGAGTCACTGAGGCGGTAGAGTGCGCGTTCCGGGGCCGGGAATTTTTGTAATGCTCGAGTTTTACTTATAACTGCCTCTGTGGCTGCACGGTTACCATGCGTGTCTGCCACGCAGAGGACCCGAGTTCGACTCCCGGGCCGGGAGAAATATTAGTATTGCCTACATTTATTTATTTCGAGAGTTTGGGTGTAAGTTGTGGTTGTCTATGTGTGTCCATGGCACCCGCGACACAGGGTTTCCCTAGTGCGGGACTAAGTGTGTAAAAAAAAAGAAATTGAAACCGGGTGGCGGGACGGGCTGCCGTATCAGGGGTATATCCGTTAACTTAAGATACATGAGATTTGTCAACCGTGTCCATAGGACCTGTAAAGGGCCCGAAACGTCGGTTTGTTTGAAAAAACAAATATACGCGATTTAAATCCGGAAAAATAGTTTCATTTCCTATGTGTAACAATCGCGAAAACCTAAGAACTCGATATACATGAGATTGTCTATAAGTCACAATTCATGTATGATTTTGCCATGGTGAATTCTGGCTAGCTACTGCATAGAGCGCGGTAAGTTTTGCACGCGACGAGCAAATTGTATCTCAGTTAACTAAAGTTACATGAATTAGCCGTTACTGGGCTTATATGAAGATTTAGAAGACCTTCTCACTTGATGAAAAATAACGATAAGGTTGTCGATGAAGCATGAACACCTTGAAAAGGCTTCATTTATATCATTCAGGGAATAAGTCTGCAAGCAGATAATTCTGCACCATAACCGTTTGCCATATAAACGTGGAAGCGTAACGCTTCGTTTCGCTAACTTCGTAGAGGGAACCCCAGCCTAGGTCTAGTTCCCTGATGATGGGCAGGGGAAGGCGGAATTAAATTTTGCAATTCCACCAGCCACGTGCATTATTGTGATATATCCTGTACAACACCGATAACCAGGCAACTTGTCTTACGGCGGTGGTCAAGGCTCTGAAGCTTCAAAGTTTCAAAATTGTATTAATGTTTTTGACCAATAAAACAATAAGTTCAGGGCATTTAGTTATTTGTTAGGGAGCGTAGGTGCCTTCAAAAGATAGCTCTTTTGAAGTCGGAAACTGCGTCGTGTGTGCAAGTGAAAGGTTGCATAATTTTAATCTTAAGGCTTACTTATAGTGTCGCAACCTGCACAGCTGTACTTGCGTGGTAGGTCGCGCGGCGACCGTGAGCGAGATGAGGCCGACGGGTTTGTGTAGTGATGGGATCGATGATATCGATATTGTATTTTATTTTTAACCGATTCTCAATTGACTGTGGTTTTTTCGTGTGCGATTACTCTGATATTTGTGACCCGGTTTAGACGGTTCTTTTCTTGTTGAAAAGGGGGTACCTTACTAGAGGTCAAATTCAAATTTGAAGAAATATTTCACGTCTAAGGGTAGCAAATTAGGGGATGAATGCGGTTTATTGGATTTCACTCACTCTCCGTTAACTGATTTCAGTAAAACTTGACATCTATATGTAATTTCAATGAAATAAATCTGATCAGATGATCGATATGGCAGACAAACTGAAAGGAACTCCTCAACAGTGTATAACAGCTACTGTAGCGGACTGTATCAATGAGGTGGGTGCTAACAACGAGTGAGTATATAAAATATATACTTACAGCTTATTAATTTTTATTACAAAACACCACGTAGCTATCAAAGCAAAACAGCATAACAAAAGTTCAAGAAAAGGCGCCAAAATCAATCATATTTAAATTTAGAATTTAAATATAAAACTAAAACTTAGAGAGACTACAAAATATATACAAAAGAGATTTGTAGCGACTGCTGCAATTCGCTACAAGCTACCTTGTGTTTGCTCTTATAACGATTCTGACTGAGATCAGTTTTGACGAGGACTTTCATATGCGTTTCAGTTATAGTTGAGAAGACCGCGGTAACGAAAAGCGAAAGCGAATAAATAAACTTGTCGAGGTCGATTTTTATTATAAAATTATATTGCGTCGCCATATTGATGGCATACTTGCACTCTATAACACAAACGTCTATTAATTTTAATTCCGATTAAGTTCCGAGTAATTAATTACCCGTTGAAAAAACATGTACACAAATTTTTTGAAAATTATTTAAAATTCTACTCAAAAACAATGTGGCGCTTACCTGGATGAATTGTCATGAGCAGGTGGCCGCACTAACGAACTTTTTTTGAAGTCGTTTGTGAAACAACAATAAAAAGTTATACAGTAATTTACGAATTAGTGGTACCTCCCAATGGACACACATAAATCTGCAAAAAATTATGTGGTTATGTTATCGATAATTGTGTCGATAATAAACTTTCATTACGTTACCACGGCACTACCTGATCACGATTTTGTTAATTCATATCGACACTTCGATCGTATACGCCTTGTAATCGAGTCCATTACGGACTAACGAGTTGTTTTTGTGAATTATTTTTGTTATACGACATTATTTTAGTAAGGTTTATTATCAAAAAATTTGGATTTACACGACATACTTTTGCGGTAAGCTTTTTGAATTGATTGAAATTTTCATTATACTTATTAAAAAAATAATTATTATTCCTTTTTTTATTAAAAAAAAATCAAAAGTTTGTGGAATTACATCTATTTGCAAAGTTTTTTTGAAAACGGTTAACGGAACGGAATCACATCTAAGTACTTGACTGATTTTATTGAAATGGGTTACCGGAAAGTGCGCGAAACTGGATTCGTCCCCTAGTTTGCCACCCCTGGAGGTGGAATATTTTCTTCAAAAAAGGGGACCAACACTGAGGTGCACTCTTTCCAACAAAAAAAGAATCATCAAAATCGGTTCACAAATACCAAAGTAATCTCGTAACATAGGTAACAACAACAAAAAAATTGAAATTTATTTGAAGAAAATATTCCACTTCTTTCTAAACGGTTGGCCTGATTTTAAAGTGATATTTTTATTAGAAAACTTATTAAATCGGGATGATTCTTAGTTAAATAATAAATAAACGTTAGACAACATTGGATAAGTTGTACAGTTCTCAAAATAAGTAACTAAAGCATTTGTGTTATGGAAACTTTAAAAAAAAAGTAGCCTCAAACTTTCGTGGAATTACATCTATTTGCCAAGTTTCATTGAAATCAGTTCAAATTGAAATGGGACCAATACTGAAGTACCCTCTTTGTAACAAAAGAAAACTGTTCACAAATGCCCGAGAAATGGCGTAATATACATAAAAAAATACAATCGAATTGAGAACCTTCTCCTTTTTTGAAGTCGGTTAAAAATCAGTTATAGTAAAGTTCTACTTTATGTATGTTTTTTTTACAATACCTAGTGAATGATGGGACGAAAGTGGTGCGCCTGTTGGTAAGCGACACGCCTGTCCGTAACAGTTGCAGTGCTACTCAGAGCTTTAAATCGCAAAGATCTTATGCGCCACAGCGCCCGTCACCCTGAGACATAAGTCCCATGTGCCTGTAATTTCATTAGGTGCCCTTTAAAACCGGAACGCAGCAATGCTGACATTACTGCTTGGCGGCAGAAATAGGTAAGGTGGCAGTACTTCCTTGGACGAACTCTTTCACAAGGTGCTCTACTGCTATTGAAATTCTTACATACCTAGTAGAAGAGTTAGGTGGACTGCAGACTCCTGGTTGTAGTATCGTATCAAGGTTACCACCATATTATTATAATGTCATCGGATTTCGATAGTATATCAAAATTTAAGTCGATCTGACTGGGAAAGAAGCTGATTGTCTTTAAAACAGGATCTGTTCATCAAACGTAGCTAAAGAACCTTCCCGATTAAATTACCCTTAAAACCTTTGGGAGCTACGATGCCACAAGTGGACACACAGAAACACTTCGAATTTATTTATAATATTATTTTAAAACTTAATTCAATTTTTGTAAGTTTTGGCTTCTGTTCCATTGAGGACAATAATTGAAAGAAAAGTTGAATGACGGAATAATTCGTTCTATACAATTTATTTCCCGCGTTTTTTTTTAAACTAAATGGCACTAGAATAATTTGTGCCAACGTCAAAGTAAAAGGTTAGGAAACGGATGAGAGGTGGGAGGGGAGAATTACAAAATGTAATCTGAGGGGAGGAAAATCAAAAAGGAAAGGAAGCAATGATCAGGAGAGCTAAGTTTGGAATTAATTGATATAGCTAAGGAATATATACACACATAAATTACACGAAATAAAAACAATAAATAAATTTTTATATCATTATGATAATAATAAATGAATGTAATAAATTATAATAGAGATTAGGATTCATAAGGAGGCATGACACACGGGTAGACAAAGGAACATGTGAAGATAGGTGTTGTTGCAGGAAAGAGGAACGGTCAGATCGGTCGGAACAAGAGAAAATGATGTGATCTATGTTTCTCATATCATCACCACACACTCGCATAAATTGCTGTCTATAATATGAAGTCTTGCCAGGTAGAGAGAAATACATGTATGTCCAAGACGCATACGAGTAACTATAGAAGTAGAACGTTTGACTAACTTTATCTTAAAAATGTAAATAAACCAAGCTCTATAGGAATGTCAGGTTGAATACTAAAGTAAATTCCCGCGCTTTCCAATGTAAATTTTGTTTTTTTTAGGGTGGAAAGTCTAAAGGTACTTAGAGCCTGACAAATTAAAATATTTTTCGCAGGCTCAGTAAACAGACTTGTTATCGCATTGAAATATACTTACTAAATATACTTCACGGGTATACTCATTTAACGCTGGCACGGTTTCATGATATTAGAATTCTTTCTCTTGGTACATTGAATAAAAAAAAACGAAATGAAAGTTATTTGAATATATATTCACAAACTCTCAAAATAGCTCAACTTGAATTAATTTTTGTCTTAAAATTCAGATGGAAGGCGAATCTTCAAGCGGAACCGGAAGTGTGGAATACACCGTTGGTGTCAGGCTTGTTGTGGTAGGAAGTGATTCTAAATACCTATGTTAATTTTTTGTTAATAATCTATATTCCGCTTTTTTCTTCCTAAAAGTCTGATTATACTTTGTAATTATAGTTGAAACAAGGCTATTAGTGGTCGTTAAATTATGTGAGGTCATTGTTTTACGCATTTGCAATTGCAATCTGTATGTATATAGTAGGTTTTACTTACGATGAAACGTTTTATACTCCACACAAACTTCTTTTATTAGATAAATAATTTTACAGTATAGAGAGTTTCTTTCAAAGATTTTTTTCTTCGGATATTGTTGATTAAATTTTTTTGTAATGCAATTATGTCTTTTATAAACTGTTATTGTTTAGTTTGTGACAACAAATTACACCTTGACATTGCACATTTTGCTTTTACCTTACAAATTGTAAAATTGCTAATATTGTAGTACTTACTGATTTATGCTATTTGATTTTGCAGTTAAACCTGCCAGAAGATGAAGGTGAAGGACTGGGATTTAGGCTTACGAGAACTTTATGGGACCCTTATCCTTGGGTTGGTATGAATATTACAGAAATTGTGACTGTCACCTTACCGCATCTGTTGATAATTAAATTACCTAATTAAATAACAATTAATAACTCTGTCACTGCATTTCCCAATTAATTATCTTAACTACCGGTGCTTACGTCTTCACATTATCTAAATTCATTCATAATTCCGGGGGCGCCCAATTGGATTAACCGAAACATAGGTATTCTATTCAATGTACTGGGTTGGCAATCTTTAAGATAAACATTTAAGTATTTCTAGTGGTAATTACGTTGTGAAACAAATCTGTTATAGATTCGTGAGGTGATGCCCGGTGCTAGAGCGGACGTGGCAGGACTGAAACTTGGCGATTGCTTGTTACAAGCTGATGGCAAAGATTTACTTGGCATGCCGGTGAGTAATATAAAAAATACTATCTTATCAAAAAGGTCTATGAGTAGTAATATGTTACGGAAAATAACAGGTTCCTTAGTGAGGAGCTGGAATCTGTACTACGTTGGGGACCTGTGTTACAGATCACCAGGCCCAGTAGTAGTTTTTCAGTCGATGTAAAATCGAGAGTGATCAGCTAGTTAGTAATAAGTTTTTTACAGTGTGTATTAGTGAGTTGAATACTAGTTTTAGTACTGGACTAAAATTTTGTTTCGGAGTCTCGTTTTAATCATCAACCATTACGATGTGTCAACCCCTCCTACATAGTTTTATTCTGCACAGCTCACATAGACTATTATAAATTCCTAGATATCGGTTAGACGATCTATGATGATCTATTAGATGATCACTTTATGTGAATAACGAGCTTTGCCGATAAAAACTGGAAAATTCTAAAGTCACATGTTATGATCATTTCAGTGAATTCGAAACTTTAAAACGCTCCCCTCTGAACTTGGCAATTTCGACATGCGATACTTTACGTAGGAGGGGTCGATTTGTGTGTGCAGCTTTGTGTCTTGTTTTTTTTAAATGAAACTTGTAAGAATTCATAACTACAACGACTTTAAAACACGCGCTCACAATTTTTTAGGTTGGTCAAGTAGCTGGCCTAATAAGAGGCGATGGCGCTGGTAGAGGAGTTTCGTTGCTCGTCTGGAACTGTGGAGTCGACCCTAAGGATGATCCAGAGGTAATATACTTACTTTGCTGTTTTTCGGCATTGGTATTGCTCAGACATTTGAATTGATCTGTTGTAAATATTGCCTACGTGATAGAACGTATTAGAGTATATATTTCAGAAAGCACTGCTCAAGCATATCTCAGCAGTGAATTAAAAATAATTAATAATTAATTTGGTATTAAAAATATTATTTTAAGTTAATTAAGTCTTGTGTCACATTTTATTGAAATCGGTTAATGGAAATTCATTAAACGAGATTCATCCCCTAATTTTCCACCCTTAGAGGTAGAATTTAGAATTTGAATGAGATCACTACTAAGGTAGCAACAAAAAAAGATTCATCGACATCGGTTCTCGAATATCGGGTTAATCGCGTAACATACTCACAAAAAACAGACGAATTGTGAACCTCCTTCTTTTTGAAGTCGGTTAAAAAGACAAACACAAATTTACAACAAGTGACAGTTTTTATATATTTATGACAATAGTTATCACTAAGCTAGGACTGAAAACAGCTTAGCATGAAGCTTACGTAATACAGAATTATTATTCTAATTTGTTTTTACCTAACTGTAAACAACGATAATGTAAACGACGAATTCTTTCCCAGTTACTATGGAGCTGCGGCGGCGGCTCTCGCGGAGAAAGATCTCGTCGCGCGTTGTCTGGTGTCGTCAAAGCGCTGTCATGCTGCGTATGCGCTGCGACCGCTACTAGAGCACTAAATTGTGCTAGATCGCATCTTTACTGTGAAGGTAAGAATAATGGGATCTATTGATAGCCATGTTACCCGCGTAAGCTGGTAATCGGATGTTAAACACTTTTGACAACCGACATGTGATCCGAATTGTTTTGTCATCCGAATTGAATTGTACTAAAGATTTTTTTAAATAAGGAATTCACAGTACGTCCGAAAGATAGGAACGTCATGCCAAAAAGTGACTTGTGGTGAAGTAATAAGTTTGCCAGAGATCACGTAGTAATGCACGGGACGCTTGTTTCCATTGCGAATGCAACTGCTTTAACCCCATGATGTATATAGGTGTTCGCAAATCTGTATACATACCATCTACAATATCGGTATATCGTTTTACGTGTTTTCCAGATAACGTTTTTACACGCTTAAGGCGCCTTCAAATTAAACCCTTATAGAAGCGCTGCAATGGCGCAATTGTGGCGCCTTACGTTTTACTTCGCTAATTGTTACTGCAAAAGTGGCTCGTGACACGCGTACTACTGGCGCTGCGTCTGCGCTTCCAAATATTTAGATAAAAAATAGTAGAGACGCAGCGTCTAATTTAAAGGCGCCCTAAGAAGTTCACACGCAAATATGCTCATAAATCTTTAGATGTCTTTTGGTTCTACAAGGTGCTGTGCCTCATATTCTTTGTACCTTAGGGTGTGTAGAATAATATTTACTAGATTCTTTTTATTTTAGCGTGCTGGACACGGTTAGAACGCTGTGCGCTTTGTAGGGAGCAGTTACCTCCTAAAGAATCTCCATACGCCCGGAATCTGGTTGCAGAACAGGTGAGCATGGAAGCTGAACGCGATCTTAGCAAAGACAAAGTAGAATATTTACTTCTAATACTAAAGATTGCGAATTTTGTCTACTTCAGCGAGCTCTGTATCAGAGTTGTGATTTTGTTTCGGACGAAACAAATCAAACGAATTAATTTGTTAAGCATCGTTTTGTTGGTCAGATTATAGTGTGGGTAAAATTGTTTAATTTATTTTTCAGGTTTTTGAAGCAATCGCTGCAGAATACGAAATAAAAGATACGATGAAACGTCCTACTGAATCTGTGTCCGCCAGAGCCTCACCGAGTCGTTCACCTAACGTTTCCCCTGCTCTCAACCGCAAAGGCTATTACCAGATATCTATGATGAATAAATATAAGAAAACAGTTCAATTCAATGATAAATTCGGACAAAACTCTGCTTCCGAACCAAATATACATCGATCAGCAAACACACAAGACTTTGTACGACGACTACCTACAGTCAGTTCAAAACCTACTATTTCAGCAGAAAATGTACAAACTGGCAACACTTTTTGTGACTGTCAAAATTCAAAGACCGAAAAAGTGGTTGAGACTATACCGAAAATTAAGATTGAAGATACTGAATCGGGCAACTGTTGTCAAAACGCTATACAGCACAAATTAGTTGCAAGATTGAGGCAAGCATGCTCATTGGCTGATCTACAAAATGCTGGCCATAATTGTCCATGCTCCACAAACAAATCCTGGAATAATATCTGTTATGATCAATGGTTAGTATATAGAGTTACACACATGCAAACCTAATGTGTCGGCACATTCAATAAAATTCACGTAAAGTCCCAATATTTGCCGGCAAATATTTGAACTTTACGTGTACGATTTCGACAATAAGTCGTTTTGTAAAGTAAAATCCGGCCGTTTCTGACATTAAATTTTATGCATTTTTAACCACTATATCTGTATGTAGGTCTATCGTAGCTCCCAAAGGCATGGAATGATCTTAGAGCGGTTATTTTTATTCAAAGGCTAATTTAATCAGAATGGTTCTAAAGGCAGTTTGATGTATGTCTACTCCCAGTAGTGTATGGATCTCCGTCATGAAATGAATAATTTTGTTCATTGTAATTTATAAATAACTGCTATTGACGATGTTTTTTCATTACAGCAACTTTAAAAATCAAAGTCACTCTATGGAGAATTTGAAAATAACCTGCGGAACAATCTGTGGTGGTAAGTGATCTTATTTTGCTTTTTGTTTACATTTTTTAGACTGTATTTATAACTTAAGTTCTTAGATTATGTTATTGTTTCAGAGTCTCCTCCCGTGTTTGTATTGTCTGCACCACCTATTTATGTTGTAACCTGTGATCATAATAAAAGTGAATAAATTTTAAATTCTGTAAATACGTTTTATCTAATAATGTAATAAATTATTAATAAGTAGTTAAATACATACATGTTATAATAAAAAGAAGTTATATTTAATATATAAAGTTTGTGTTTTATTTAAAATTCCTCTAGAAATATAAAAAGACCTTAGACTGCCTTGTCACCAGAGATGTGTGACGTAGCGAGGCGGTGGTGTGCGAGGTAAAAATCCACCAATAGGATTACTTCATTTTCCTAGCCTCGCTTAGCGCAATTCCGGTGGAAAAGGATTAGCGCAGCTAAGTATTTGTATGTACCACGCGAGTACATCATTAAGCTACACATTGACGTATCTTGTTCCGTTGCACTGGAGACGATTTTCGAACAAAAATGTGTAGTCTGATGTGCCGTTGTCCGTACATACGAAAAAGCGAGAGATGTGTGCTAGGGATGCGGGCGAGGAATGTGTGCAAAACGGTGTAAGAAAGTAAAGCTACTGAAAGTAAATTGTAATAAGTGAATCACAGGCATTTTTGTATCGCACGGATCGCCTCTTAGGTATGCAAATTAATAAAACACAAAACTTATTTTGGTGGTGGTTCACCTTAAAAAATATTGTCGTGTTTCTCATACATTTTAAGATTATTGTGTCCATTTATTTCGACTCATAGTTATAATAAAATACTTTTTTACAAAGCAACAATAAAACGCAGAAAATGCCAAATGGGCGCCATATTGTTTACATTTGTGAAAAAACAATTACACACATGAGAAATCTCTGTTATTTATTATCTATTAGTGTAAATCATGGATATTCATGATTTTAGACAGCTCGTCGAGCTGAAGCCTGATTTAGAGCCGTTGAATACAATATGTCGGTGTTGTATGACGACGGGAAAACGAATGAAAAATGTTGTGCTATTCAGTGCTTTTTTTAGAGATTTAGCCGGCATAAATGTGAGTAATTTCATTTCCTAAACTTTTAAAGGCTATTAGGCATTCGATTCGCTTTTCAAATAAATGCATAGAACTTTGATATTTTGTTGAAAATATGTTTTTGCTGATTTAAAAACTCTTTGGTAGTATTGCAGTTTTCACACAAGTTTGTTGCTTTAAAATTGAATATTTTTCAATTATATTAATGTTTGTAAGCTTTTCACCTGCTGTAGTTTAAAATTTTAATTATAGTTGCAATATAATACAATACAAATACTCTTTTATTGCACACAAACAAATACAAACTCAAATTACTTACTCCAAAAAGTTAATTAAGTTACGATCTGTAACTTGCATTTGGCGAAACCAATGTAGTGAGAATTTCAGAATGTCATAATGTTTGACTACCATCCATATTAAATTATTTTTGTTAAATTACTCCACTAGTTTGTAATAATTGTTAAATACAAAGATAGAACATTCAGAAAAAAATCCTTTGATCCAGCTGGATTCGATCCAACGTCTTCCAGCAAACCGTGCCAGACGCTTTGCCAACTAAGTCAGGGAACGAACTAGCTGGCCCTTAAAATTTTTGTATGTGCTTGTTGCAAATCTTTTTTTTATTTTTAACTTAGTTGGCATAGCGTCCATACTTCGTCCAACCATTTCTTTAACTTTTGACAGCTTCAATTCTAATCGATTAGGGATGTCCTCAAACATTTCTGATTTGATTTTTTATAACAATCAAATTTATTTATGAAGAAGTTTAAATTGTGAATGTGAGCTGGTTTCAAAAAAGATGTTATTGTCTGATTGGGTATTCAAGAATTAATAATTAATGTTACTGAGGATTCAAGTGATGATTCCCGTTCATATGGAGAAGAATCCGACAATCTTTTGGTTCAATAAATATCAGAGCTGAAGAGCATGTTGTTTCACTAAAAGTAAAAAAATAAAAGAGTCCAGGAAGTATAGCGTTTTTGTCTATGGTTGTACGTCAATAATTATGGAACTTCAGAGGCATGCATGTGTCAAAAGTTAAATAAATGGTTAGACAGACGTTTAGGACAGTTTGTTGGAAGACATTGGTTTGAATCCAGCCGGATCGAAGGATATTTTCCTGAGTTGGGTTTGATCATGTATTTATTTAGGACAACTTATATACATATACAAACAAGTGCTCAATACAGTAGATATTGTGGCTCCAGTTAGTGTTCTTTCATTTACAAGTTGCCACAGCATGTGTTTCTACATAGGAGTATTAAAAAAAATCTAAAAGTAATTAACTACTACTACTAATATTAACTACTTGCAAATTAACTGTTTAAGCTTTGCCTGCTAACAGATTGAAGTTGTTGTCGACTTCATGCTGTCCAAGACTCGGATAACAATTTCATGCATTAATTGTTTATACTTCCAGCTAGCAATGTTTATAATGATACACAAAAAACATTCTTCTCAGGTGTTTTACCTTTAGTAAATTTTGAATATCAACTGTAATCTTGTAATGGATGACGTACTAATTGTTTTACTTCTTCAATGCAGGTAACGGAATCAGATGGACTACCGCAATGGCTTTGCTACGAATGCAGTGCACTTCTAATAAAGGCCGTACGCTTCAAACACAAGCTAATACGGGCTCATACGTTGCTCAATGAGTACCTCAATAGATGTGCTCCAGTAAGTTAATAGTGGTAATAGTAATCGACATAACAGTAATATAGGTAACAGTAATAATAGAGCTGTAAATATATAGGCTATTCTGATCTCACCTAGTAACAATTTAATTGATATCTCATGTTATAGATAACTTGTTTATTTGCTGAGTCACAGTCACAGGCATACATCTAAATCATTGTTTTCCATAGTGATCTCTACCGTCCCACAGTGGGCGCTGAACGCACAAACCATTGGGGGGTGTTGATGCTGTCCAGGGGTTGGTATAGCATTTGAAAAGAAAACCTGAATTATCTATAGTTGTCTACGAGTTATCTATTTGTGTCCATGGCACCCGTGATACAGGGTTTCCCTAGTGCGCGCACTATGAGTGTATGCGCGTTATTATTATTATTAAAAAGGGCCTGACTCGGCATGATGCCGCAGTTCAATTGGAGTACGGCCGCCGGGCCCTATAGTGAGCCGTAAAAAAGAAGTATGTAGCTCATTGTTATGGTTTATGGTGATGAAGTAGATAACATAATTTCAGTTTCCCATAGACGCCCAAGATGTAGAGCTAAGCAAATACTCAACTCCACCACTCAGTGCCACTACCACCCTATCGTTTGACGTCGCCGGCAAAGCCAGGATAGGGTACCACAGGGTCCTACAGGTTTGTTATATTTTTAATGCTATCTTTGTTATTATTATTTTTATTTACAACATACATACCTTGTAATACGTTAAAAATACATAAAGCGGTGTCGCATAAACCTGTTAAAGATTATACATGTCAGGAGCGCGAATGAAAGGTCATAGGGCTCATTCGGAGTGCAGGTGCGGGTCTTGGTATCTTCCCTTTCGCAGTGCCGAAGCAGCTACGAGCTGGTTCATCCACATGTCGAAATCGCCAACAGACGCAAGACCAAGCACTGTAAAAGGTGGGGGGGGGGGGGGACAAAGCCAATAGATTTACACCCGCGCCCGCACCCGCCTCGAGACAGGCGCCCCGGGTGCGTACGTACATTTGATTTACAAGCACAAGCGCCCGCACCCGCGCCCGCACCCGCCGCCACTCTGAATAAGGCAGACACTATGGCCTTATTTATTCATAAATAAAGACACTATGGCCTTATTTATTTATAATAAATGTTTAGAGAAGGTATATATCCTGATATTTTAAAAAGTACTCGTGTATGTCCAGTGTTTAAGGGGAAGGGGGACGTGACCCATGTTGAAAGCCACAGACCGATAACCATAGTTCCGAATATATCAAAAATAATAGAATCTATTATATCAACAAGTATTATGGATCATTTCGAAATTAACGATTTGTTATCAGATAGACAATATGCTTATAGGAAAGGTAAATCCACCGTAGTTGCAGCACAAAATATAGTAGATTCTATTATTACCAGTATAGATGATAAGTATAAAACTGCAGGCATTTTTTGTGACCTAACAAAGGCGTTCGATGTAATTGAAAATGATTTATTAATTCAAAAGTTAGCTGTGTATGGCGTCAACGGAGTCGCCCATAACCTATTAAAGTCTTTTTTATCAAACAGACGGCAAACGGTTCAGGTCAGTACAAACGGTACAACAACTAGGTCAGCGGCTGGTGACGTCACCATTGGCATCCCACAGGGATCTGCCCTAGGTAATACACTATTCCTGGCATTCATCAATGACCTGCCATACTTTATATCAGGGGGTCTTGTGGTTCTATTTGCGGACGATACAACCGTTATAGTGTGTGCTAAAACCTACAACGAGTTGGAAGAAAAATTAGCCTGCACGTATGAGCAGCTGTGTGAGTGGTTCTCTGCGAATGGACTTATTCTTAACGAATCGAAGTCAAACCTTATGTTGTTCTCAGGAAGAAATTCTATAACAAAACCAATTATCACCTCCATTGTTCCATTATGTAACACCTGTAAATTCTTGGGTTTAACGCTAGACTCAAATTTGAACTGGAAGTCACATATACAAACTCTATGTCAAAAACTTGAAAGTGCTGCATACGCACTGAGGAAACTGCGTCCTCTTGTCTCCAATGTGGTATTGAGGCAGACGTATTATGCATATTTTCATTCGTTGATGTCTTATGGCATCACACTGTGGGGTAATTCAACTGAGTCGATTAGGGTATTTATTCTTCAAAAACGTGCACTAAGAACAATAGTAGGCATAAAAAAGGGTCAGACCTGCAGAAACCTTTTTAAGAAATACAATATAATGTACTCACAATATATCTATGATATAATAGTTTATGCGCGTAAAAACTTGGCTACTTATGAGCGACGTACGGGCGGAGGCCGAGCGTTACGAAACGCGGGAAAACTAAAAACCGTTGCCCACCGTACCGAACTTGCAACTAGAAATCCGAGGGTAATAGGTCCCCGATTCTACGAACATCTACCCACCTGAAAAGTGTTAGAAACGATGAAACGTTTTGTACCCGACTAAAAATCCTTTTATTGGATATTGAATTGTACAGTGTCGATGAGTTTCTTTTGAAACAATTTTAATTTTATTTTATTCGACAAGCAGTAGTTATACTACTTTATTTTATATTCATTATTATTATAATAATTTTATTACTGACGATCATAGTTATCCCTTGACATTGTATTTCCAATTGTAATATTGTGACATTGATAACATGAAATAAACGATTCTATTCTATTCTATTCTATATAATAATAAATAAATAAGGCCATAGTGTCTACCTACCTCAATTGGAGACAGGCACGATACTTACATTCTAAGGTTAAGGACCTTGAAGTGGTAAATTTAGTTACTGATGTACTTCAAATTTGTATCTGTAAAAGTACATAATTAAAGAGTTAAAAGTCAATACTTAAAAAGTTATTAATATAAACTTTTAATTACTTACTTTTAACGTCATAACTATTTTTTTTTGTAATATAAATAATTAGAAGACTGCAATTTCTTTCAGCACAAGAAACAAATCCTAAAGACTGAATTAGACGGCATACTCCTTCCGGCTCCCGTACACGATGTCCCCTTCGTCTCGGCTGCGAATGACGTCAGCAAAGTGGAGGAGAACGTCAAAACCGAGTTGGACTTTTCGGATTATGAGGACAATATCACATTGGAAGAGTATAGGTGAGTGTTCTAGGCTTTTACTTTGACACTTTTAACAACAAGATTATTGAAATAAAAAAAAATTAACCAAATAAAACACACTGTATACACACACCAGCATTTTAGCGGAACATAACTGTTTATGAACAAGAAAAAACGATCTCAAAAGTGACTGGAATTACATCTATTTGCCAAGTTTATTGAAATCGGTTACCACCCTTAGAGGTGGAGTACTTTCTTCAAATTGGAATGGTACCAAAACTGAGATACCCTCTTTCCAACAAAAAAAGAATCACCAGAATCTGTTCACAAATGCCGGAGTAATCGCGTAACGTACAAAAAATTTGACGACCTCTATGGTCAGGGGTTTGTAGTAACAAAATACAGACGAATTGAGAACATCCTCCTTCTTTCAAGTCGGTTAAAAACACTGCATTATTTTGGGGATTTAACTACCGCTAAATATGCTGGTGAGTATATTAAATAACATGAAGCACATCAAAATTGTTTTAAAGAAAAGCAGTAGTCATGTAGTTCACATAGCATTTAACAAAATAACCAAAACTGAAAAGTGGAATATCAATACAAGCAGTACTGCATTCCATTTTTCAAGGGCAAGGGTGCTGATGAAATTACAGACACACGGGACTTGACAGCTTACGTCTCAGGATGACGGGTTCAGTGGCAGTGCCCCTCAGATCTTTGCTATTTAAAGCTCTGACACTGCACCTGCTATGAACAGGGTTGTCGCTTACCAGCAGGCATGCGACTCGTTCGTCCTGTCACTTGGTATGATAACAAAAAGACTACGTCCACTTCCACTTGTTCTGAACTGTCTTTTTTGCTTTGGATTTTCCCTAATTTAAAAATAACTCTCCAGGTCAAATGTGAAATTAACAGAAGAAGAAGTAAGTAAAATAACGGAAGACGATCTAGCCCAGCTCCTTCAGGAGAGCGAGAGCCTCGAGTTGACAGAGAAGAACGGAGACGGTGACAAAAAGAAACGTAGAGGGAGAAAGAAAGAGGATAAAGTTAAAAAGAGAAAGACAAGGTAAATGTCTTTATATTCACTGTAAACATCATGACAAAACAAATCTCAGTTCTTTATTACGTTCTAGAACAAAAGATAAAAGTGATAAAATATTTTTTGAGATATCCTAATAAATCACTCAACTCTAGCTCAGTTTTAGAATATTAAAATTGTTTAATGACATTTCAGCTGTGCATCTTTAGAGTAAGTTCCGATAACTCGAACACGTTAACTAAATTTATCTGTTTTTAAAAGAGAATTTTGTAATCTATCTTTTTCCTATTTACAACAGATATTTGACCATTTGTCACTTAGCCGCGTTTTAGTTAGTGGACCGAAGATTAGGTGTCCCGTTTTATATTCTCTGTGTCCCGCATTTTTTTATTAACCCCGACGCAAAAGAGGGAAATTATAAGTAAAGCCTTTGTCTGTGAGCATTTGGCTGTATGTGACACCGAAGCATGCATGGAATAACAAAATAGTGGCAAATGGTATGAAGCGCCATTAACACAATTTACTTAATAGTTACTACGTAACAGATACATCACTTATACAAAATCGAAAATACCTACGCTATGATAGCCTACTAAATCTCGACTAATGACACCAGGCACTCACTACAAGAAAAAAGGTACCTAAGCACGCGCTCATAGAGGTGAAAATAATGTTGCATGCCGTGTGCAATCTTGCGGAGCCCAATGCTCGTAAATGAAAGATTTGTATGAGCGCTAGTACCGACGTCGGTACACTCAGCGATAGGCACTTATCGCGTAACCTTGAGCGAGTGATGAAGCCCTGCCATTAGTATCAAAACCGGTGTATAAATATTTTTTGAATGTAATATGTAACAAAATTAAATGTGTCAGTAAGGTTTACTATTACTAACTTCATAACTGATGATCACACTACGTCTAAGTCTATAAAACCTAATGAACTGTTTGGCTTAGGAGTTCCGTTACTCAACACTGGAGGGCACAACTATTCTCAATAGTTTTGTTATGATTATGAATGCAAAGATCAAACACAGAAAAATGTCGTCGACCCGGTGGGATTTGAACCCATGACCATGCTGCACCGTAGCATTGCTCTTACCACTTACTTGCTGAGCCACAGGTCAAGTTACCGAGTTGACGAACTTCTCCTATATGTTTTTGTTATAGCTCTTTGTACTGGCTTTCGGCATTCAGTGGCAAAACACTTTAACCGATTTTAATAAAACTTGGCAAATGTATGTAATTCCAATAAAAAAGCCAATATGCAACCTTTTGAGGTTTTTTTTTAATTTAAGTTTTATTAGTGTTTCGTTATATATTTTCTTATCCCATACATGTGTTCTGCATGCTATATCTGAATTGTAATCAATAATTTCCAGAGACGTCCGAAAAGAGGAACCTGTAGAAAAAAAATCGTCAATCCGTAAGCCCATCGAGCTGGACCCAACGAAGATCAGAGTGGTTACGCTGAACCCTGAAGAGCAAGTTAAACAGAGAGAGGTAAAAATTAAGATTACGAAACTGAAACTCTCCAGATACCTTTCAATGCAAATTATTTTGTAAAAACTAAAGGCAATGACACGTTAGGCACTGCTATCGAAAACAATATAGAGTTTATGTTCCAATCTTACCTATGTTACCGGACACCCAAGTTGCGTCATACGTCGCTGTCCATACGTGTAAATAAATGAATAGTGTTTATTGGCGAGTAGACTATAAATGTATGCACTATGATGGAAACACCTTATATGCAGATTAAAACACGTTTAATTTGAAAAATTGGATATGAAACCGAACAAGGCAGCGCAGCGGAAGCAACTGCCAAAATTTTGCTAAATTAAAACAGTCAAAAAGTATGTTATAAATCGAATGTAAATTTAAAAAAAAGAAGTACAAAAACGAAGGAGGCTGCGTCACAGCTGGTCGCCAACAATGTTTTATTATGTTGTATCCTTAAGGTATACACGTGTTATACGAGCTCTATACCCCACCTACAGTGGGGTCGGGCTCGGCCTGCGGCGCGTGGTCGGTTTCAGTTTACGGGGTGTGTTCATGCTCTTCGGTGGCACAACAGTTAGTACTGTACTGAGGCGTAGCTTGGGATGCGTAGCGAGAGGTACTTTTATGAATATAAAGTGGAATAATCTTCAAAATATACTTTATTGTATTCTTTCACATAGTTTTGGCTTTGGGTTACAAATCAATAATGTCAAGATGCTCCATTCTTTTCTCTTACTTCATTTTCAAAGCATTCTAATTATAAATCTATTCACTCAGCCAGTGATTCTACTCATAGAGTAGAGCCTAGACTACAGTACTATGGGCGCTTGATGAGGAGGTCGATTCCTGATTTATGCCAATTTAAGAAACGAATATTTCTAAGTTGGTTTTGGTCTGAGTATTCTGAGTATCGTTGATTTGGTATTCATAGTACAGGAAATTCGGCAGTAGTTTGGCATTTTTGCCCCCTAAATACTTCTCTTTGGCATAGCTTTCAAGAAAATCAAATCTAACAAAGAGACGGTTGAGATACAACAACGTTATAATAAGTATCTCATTTCCACTACATCGGGAAGCATGCTTTACATTTTTACAATTGTGAGATCTTGTACTCGTAATCTCTTACGTTTCCGTATATTATCTCCATTTGATGGCGTGCGGACGCTTCGGGCCTCGCCCTCCGCGGACCTCGGCCTCCGGCCTCGGCACTTGTGGCTTTGTTTTAAAAAAAATTGAAATAGCTTTTTAATGGTGACCATATTTAAAAATTGCAAAAATATATTTTGACCACTAATTATCAAACAATCTTAGAAATTTTTTTGTGCCAATTTTCAGCCCGAGCAAAGCAAGTTTTTTCAATAGCCATTTACATAAAAAATTACGGCTATATCGAAAAACGGCAGAAACAAAATTTTTACCCCAAATTGTGATTGAAGCCATGCCATTTTCAGTCGAATTAATAGAAATTTTTATCTACCGCCAAAAAAGTTTGTATGGCAGCCATACCTATTGAAAAATGGCGAAAAATAAATTTTGACCGCTAATTATTATTAAACACTCATAGAGACCCCGACATGTCCACTTTCAATCGAATTAGAGCACATTTTTATCTGGCGCTAAAAAAGTTTGTATGGCAGCCATAGCTGGGTCTTCCACCGATTCTGAACCCTATTGTTGCAGGAAGAGAGCAAAGCAAACCTGAAGTTTCCATATCAATGCAATTTCTGTTTCAAAGGCTTCAACTTCGAGGCCAAACTGCAAAACCATATGGGTAAACATAGCCCGGTGAGTGTACCGTTGTACTAAGTAGTTCATTATGATGAAATAGTGTTAGATGTTTTGGATTTATGTATGAAATAATTCCTAATTTAAACTAATGAGACTGTGGCGTCTGGACTGAGTGTATATTCAAGAATTGCTACCTTTGACAGTGTCCTACCTTTATATGAATAATTAAAAGTAATGTAATTGTTTGTAGTCTCGTGGTCAGTTTGAGTGCAAACTCTGTCGCATGTACCTACCGACGTCGTACAGTTATAGTGTGCACTCTCTGATACACACTCGCCGGTACGAGTGCCTGCAGTGTGGACGGCGCATGATCGACCGGGCGTCTATACTGGATCATTACAAGTAAGTACAGATATTTTTCAGTCCCGTGTTTTGTTTCGCAAATATCTCGTATTTTGTTTTACAAATGACCCGCATTTTGTTTTATAAGTGACCCGTGTTTTTTACAAATGTCCCGTATTTTGTTTTGCAAATGTCTCGTATTTTGTTTTACAAATCCCCGTATTATGTTTCGCAAATGTCCCGTATTTTTGTTGCTTTTCCAGTTTTGTCTATAACTTGTGGGACTATTGTGTTAGCCCCACAAGTACAGAGCTATGATGAACAATATAATTTTGATTCTGAACTAAAAAGAGTACCTTTGTGATGTGGCTTATGAAATTATAATTGATATTTTAAAGTAGAAAAAAGTATATATTTAAGATTACAACAACTTGCGTGCGAGGTATCGATTCATGTACATTTTTTTTCCAGATCACAACACGAAGGAATTATGACAGTATACACATGTCATATTTGTGGAAAGGTATCCAAGTAAGTATACGCTTTTTTAATGCCAGCTTTAATGAATAAGAATAACCAGAATGGGATTGCTGATATCTTCATGCATGCATTATTATAATATTAGGCGATGAGTGAACGTATCCAAATGTGTGTGTGAGAGGGACGGTGAGTGTAAGCGAGAGATAGAGAAGAAGACAGAGAGGAACGAGAGCGAAAGATAACAAAATAAAAGACGAGAAATTTGTTTTATAGAAAGTATATTGAAGAAGCTTGAGTAAACGAGTGTCACCAAAAGCCCTGGTTCTTTTAATATCCCAGTGTTTTCTTTAAAATGAGACTTTCTCCGCTGGCTCGGCGATCCAAAATGAGACAGTATGGGGAAATCCGAAACCAGAGAAGATACACGGAAACTGTCTTAGGGACTATGAAGTTTTTTGTGAAAACAATTTTGGCATAGTCAATTTTTTGGCCAAGCGTGTGTTGTCCATTGTCCATAAAAATGAATAAAATTGGGAAACATTTTTTTGTGCTAATCGACTCAATTTCATGAAGGGATCATTTCATTGCATGGGACATAAAATCGGGACACCCGAAGTTGATGAAATTTCATAAAGTATTTTACATCCGAAATGAATAATATAATAACAAAATAATAATAACAAAATTGTACCTAACTAGTTGACACGTAGAGTAACCAATAAAAACATGTAACATTAAGCTTAAGCAGTTAATTTGTAAGTAGTCAATTACTTTTAGTTTTTTTTAATACTCCTACGTATAAACGCATGCCGTGGCAACTTGTAAATGAAACAACACAAAAACTCGAGCCCCGATATCTACTGTTATGACCACTTGTTTGTGTATGTTTTGTAAGTTGTCTTAAATAAAAATATATACAAATAAATAAAATTAATAAATAATTAAAATTGATAGTTTTTTAGATTCCTTTTCATGCAAGTATGATTTCATTGTATAGGAAGAAAAAAATTGAGACAGCAGAAGTTCAGAAGGTCATCGTCGGTTATTTGTGTCAATCAACTATTTTACCGACACTCGACTGTATGTAATTTAAAAAAAAAATGTTTTACACAAAATACCCAAAAATCACATTCCTAAAACAATTAACTGACTTAAAAAAAAAGGTGGAGCTTCTCAATTCGACTGAATTTTTTTTGTATGTATATTACGCTTTATCTCTAACAAAAAAAAAATTAACAAAATGTTAAGCGTTTTGCATGAAAAATAACTTTTTATTAAATTTCACCAATTTCATCTGTCCCGATTTTTTCTTTCCATACAATGAAATGTTAAACTGAACTTACTGCGTAAATTGAACTAAACTTACATTAAACTGATTTGATGGCAAAATTGTTTTCACAAAAAAAGACTCAATGGTTCCTAGGACAGTTTCCCTGTATTTTCTGTGGGTTCCGACTTCCCCATACTGCCCCACTCAAGAAAGAACAATTGTATATTGTATTTATTATATTTAAAAATGTACTTTATGGTATAACAGCAACAGCAAAACTCACCGAGGTCACATGCGCAACCACCACAGCGGCGATCGGCCGAAGTGTGACCAGTGCGGGAAATCCTTTGTCAACAAAGACTCCTTGTCGGAACATTTGCAGTGAGTAATTTTGACCTGAAAGATGTAATATTAGTCAAGGATTGTAACTAAAACAAATAATTATTGGCAATGAAACCATTTTTTTCGGAACTAAATTGAAAGAAAGCAAGAAAGAAATATATTTATTTGTTTTTTTTTTTGACATATCACCATTTCAACACGGACACGGCCACAGAACAAATACAGTAGAAGCATTGACTTACAATTATATGGACGTCGGGTCCGCGCTAAAAAGTGTCCGAACTTATAGGGCGTTAAAATCGTATACAGAGCGTCATTCACGCTTTAGTCTTCGTTTGTTCGACTGACAGCGAAGCAAGCAATATTAGACAGTACTGCGATGACATTACAATTTAAATTCAACGTTTTAGCTTTTTCATATTCCTTTACATGTCACTACGTTTAAATAGGTTGACTTGGGACATTTTTTTCGTGGTTTTTGTATTAGACCCGTCGTCCATTTATTTGTAAGTCAATGAGTAGAAGTGTTAAGTTGGAGTGACACGTGTCCAACAATACGTGGAGTTTGACATACTTGAACATAGTCTTGTCAATTATTTCCCGCGAAACCTCGAAAATCGTACAAAAATGCCTTATTCCGCTATTTTGGAGTGCAAAAATGGTAGTCGCACTTCTAATACTGTCTATGGTGTTTCGTATCATCATTAACTCTTATTTTATTTAATTTTAATATATTTGCTATTTCCAGTTTATCGTAAGCATTTTTTTGTTACATACAACGAAAGTAAACTTTATACCGCTGCAATATGGTCGCTTCTTGTTTAGAGAACTAAGCAAACATCTGCAATTCATCGTCATTCAGTTATTAACCGCTAGATGGCAGCACATTTATTTAAATTTCAATGCAAAATTAAAACGTCGCAACTTGCAATAATAAGTATTGATGGTATTGAACTTTAAACGATATGTCGTTAAGGTAAAGTTTAAATTATATTAACAGTCCAGATTTTTTTTAAATTAGAAACTACGACATTGACTATGAAGATTTCATAGTGTTTAAATTATTAATATGTGAGCTTTAGCGACAGCGGTTCTGATAGTAATCGAGGTTTAAGGCACTTCCATTGGTTTTTGCTTCTGTGGGAAACCAGGGAATGAAATAATATTTATTATTATAAGTATAATATCTTCCGACGTGTCTACTTGAGCAACTATAATTCCAGTGGAGAATAAAATGAATAAATTCACGATTCACTTTTTAAAAAAGAGCGACTGGGGAGCTCGTAGAGAAGAGGTAGTTTGTTTAAAAAAAAAACATGCGCTATTTAGTTTCGAAAAATTAGTTTCATTGTCAAAATGGTGTAATGTTACTAAAAAACCTGTACCTGAATATTTTATTGTATGTCAGGATCCATGAAGGCATAAAGAATTATTCATGCTGGGTATGCGGCGCGCGGTTCCGCACTCGCGCGCAGATTAAGCATCATCAGTTGAAACACACCGATGCCAAAGAATTCTATTGCGTCGAGTGCGACACTAGGTAAGAAATATCCCACTCTCTGTCTCGTATATGTCTCGTATGTCCCATATGCGTCAAACAAATGTCTTTGTAGGTTCAAATCAGCGCATAGTCTCCGCCAGCACCTCCAGAAAAGCCTCAAACACAAAGACAAGCAAAGCCTCAAGTTCTGCTGTTCACGATGCGACAAGCGATTCGACACGGAAGCTAGGCTACAGCATCACGTGAATGTACAACACGAAGGAATCAGGCATGTATTATATGTATTACGTTTTGAAATTATGATTATGGCCCAAAAGTGTCCCGTATTATGTCCCGAAAGTGTCCCGTAGTATGTCCCGATATTGTCCCTTATTATGATCCGAAATAGTCCCGTGTTATGCCCTGAAAATGTCCCGTACTGAACCCTGAAAGTGTCCCGTATTATGCTCCGAAAGCGTCCCGTATTTCGTCTACATGCAGTCCCGCGGCTTGTGTCTCGCGCAGGTCCCACCGCTGCCCGCACTGCACCGCCACTCTAGCGACGCGCAGCTCTCTGCAGAAGCACGTGCATTCCGTGCACAGAGGACACCGGCCGCCGCCACGACACGTGTGCGACACCTGCGGGAAGGCCTTCCGGGTGCGTAGAACTAATTGCCACCCAGAACGGGCGGACACGCAGAAGTGACGTTTGGTTTCGCTTCCGCCAGGGCAAGAGCGTGCTGACGAACCACGTGCGCACGCACACGGGCGAGAAGCCCTTCGAGTGCTCGACGTGCGGGCGCAAGTTCACGCAACGCACGGCGCTGCGCACGCACTTCAACCTGGTGCACCTGAAGATCCGGCGCACCGCCAAGGTCGGCCCTCGCAGTTTCCTCTTCTATGAATAGACTTCGCTTCACAACTGCAAATTTTAGTTTTTTTCTGTACATCAAAATTGAAATAATTCAGATTTTTGAGCATTAAAAATGTTTGCTTAATGTTAACGTATAAGAGAAATTAAATGTAAAAAAAATCCGTTCCCGCCATAAGGCGGCAATGTAATGGAAAGGCCAATGGGTGTAATTTAGCACATTACAGCCGACTTTACCTGCATGAAAAATGAAAATGTATCTTACCTACGTTACTGTTCTCAGTTTGAATATTTTATTTTGTGTATGTTCGTTCGTTCGTTACTCCGACATTTGCGAACCGATTTCGAGAGTTCTTTTTTCTTGCAAAAACAAGCAGTGGTGGTCCCATTCAAATTTGTGGAAAAAATTCGAATGGGAAAAAATCATTTATTCCATAGGTAAAATAAATTTACACTTAAAACCGTCACATTTGAGCTACTGCTCGTTCACTACGCTGACCTCCCCGAGAAGAACGAGCAAGAAACTCTAGGGATTGCTCTTTTCAAATAAACTTGAATGCTATGAAATACTCATTGAATTAAACTTATGTGGAATCTAGAGCCATGTCGTCTTTCCATACATCTTTCGTCTATATTCCACCTATGGCAGATGATGGGATGAGTCCGGTTTATTGGGTTTAACCCACTTTCCCCTTAACCGATTCCAATGAAACTTGGCAAATAGATGCAATTCCACTAATTATTAATATCGGTATTTTGTTCATAAAACAGTTATATTTATCAACACAGATAAAGCCCGAGCTGCCGCTGGAAGTGCGCGAGCCGCCGAAATTAGAATCAGCGCTGCCAAACATGTTCCCGAAAGCAGAAACTCCCATCGTCTTCGAGTCGTGGAGCCGGCAGCCCATCCCGTCGTGTGAGGTCTACTTTCACGTAACTGCCGGGCCTCAGTGACGCCTTATTGACGATTAACATTTTATTGGTATATCAGTGACGCTTTTGACATTCCTACGGGGCCTTAGTGACAATGAAGTATTCAGTGACGTAATAGTACATTGTGTATTGTAGGCGGTAAATAAGGAATTACTAACGAGTCCTCTTAGAAGCCCGAAGTCGAACACTGAGGGCTTTCGGAGTGGAGGTCCGTAATTCGCGTACCGTCCCGTAAACATACAATGTTTTTTATCACATTTGTACATAAATAGTGTGATTGCAAGCAGGGTAACTTGGCTATAGTGCCCCAAATAAAACGCTCGGGCCTTTTTTCTTTTCATTGCATGGCGTGTTACAGTCGCGTGCAGCAGATACAAGCACAGAATTATTTTTAAGGTAAACAACGTTTTTATTCACAGACATAGAATATTAGTTAGTTGAGAAGAGTGACGTCTCAAGGAAAAATAAAAACCTTTGTGTATACAATGAGATTATAGTATTAGATAATGTAAACTATTTGGTTCAACACTCCTGTGAAATGCGAAGAAAAAAGGTCCGAGGGTTTTATTTGGGGGTATTATAATCAAATTCGCCTACATGCAAACATACTATTTACGTGCCAGTGTGATAAAAAATTTAGGAGCAGTAGATCTCCTTGTGAAAGTATGAGTCACATTACTGCGTTCCGGTTTTGAAGGGTAAAGGTGCTGGTGAAATTACAGGCACATGGGGCTTGTCAACTTATGTGTCAGGGTGACAGGCGCAGTGGCAGTGTCTCTCAGATCTTTGAGTGGCACTGCAGCTGTTATGGACAGGCGTGTAGCTTACCACTTGGTGTCATAAAAAAGACACTTTTTGTGGCGTGTTCAGTAGATTTTGTGTTACTAAGACAAACCATACCCTGCTGTATACTCTGTCCAACCATTTATTTAACCTTTGACACATTGCTTTGACAGCTCGAATTCGAATCAATTAGTCGACCCCTCCTACGTAAAGTATCGTATGTCGAAATTGCCAAGTTTACAGGGGAGCGTTTTAAAGTTAAACATAACACGTGACTTTAGCGTTTCTCAGTTTTATTCGGTAAAGCTCGTTCTCACATAGAGTATTATAAAATCCCAGATTCGTCGTTTAGATGAACAACCACAATTTATTTTAAAATTAGATCATTCAGGGAATTGAAAACTTTAAAACGCTCCCCTGTAAACTTGTTAATTTCAACATACGATACTTTACGTAGGAGGGGTCGTAGTGATGTCCTAATGCGTTTCCGATTCAATTTTTTGTAACAATCGATTTTACTTATGAAGAAGTTTTAATCGTGTAAGTGAGTGGGTTCAAAAAAGAAGATATTGTCCGATTGGGATCGTGACGTTGCGTTTGACAATTTGTGTTCTCAAGCATGAATAATTAATGTTAATGAGGATTCAAGTCATTGTAATAAACAATAAGAATTTATTATAATTTATAATTTATTTCATTTCAATATAATTTATTACCAAAATGTATCAACTTGAATAATCTTCGTTGCATAATCAAGAAAATATCAAGAGCTAAAGAGCATGTTCGCTTAACTAAAATTTAAAAAAATAAAAAGTCCAGGAAGTATTGCGTTTTTGTGTATGGTTGTTTGTCAATAATTAAGAAACTTCGGAGGCATGCATATATGTCAAAAGTTAAATAAATGGTTAGACATAGTTGGTCATGTGCCCAAAGTTAAAAAAAATTAACTTATATACAATTTTGTGTAAATTGTGAGATTACTCAATTGAATGTCCTTTGATGGCATTCACCACTGCCATTACGCGTTTTTAGTTCCTCATTATGTGTAATATAGTTTAAAGTTTTATTTATCATAATTTGTTATATAATCATTTTGTTCCGACCTGCTCATTTGAAATGTATTTTGAAAGAGAATTTAGCGGTTGCTACTACTTACTACCGTTAACAAATAAGTTACTATTTAAGAAGAAAAACAAGTCAAATGTGACTTAAAGTTTTTGTTCCGACGGTCCTCAATTATAGACTATTTATTAACCGACTTCAAAAAAAGGAGGAGGTCCTCAATTGACTGTATTTTTTTGTGAATTGATTTTGATGATTCTTTTTTTTTGTTGGAAAGAGGGTACCCGGTAGTGGTTCCATTGAAATTTGAAGAAAACATTCCATCTCTAAAGGTGGCAAACTAGGAGCAGCTAGTTTCGCGCACTTTCCGGTAATCGATTTAAATAAAACTTGGCAAATAGACGTAAGTCCACAAACTTTTGAGTTCAGTTTTTTTAGTACTCTGTACTGAGATTGTAGTATTACAATTTTTAGTCACAGATTAAAGACACAAAACTATGAATATTTTCAGATATTTATCATGCTAATTATAATTATTGATACAAAGATCGAACACTAACAGAAATTCCTTCGATCCGGCTAGATTCGAACCAGCGCCTTCAGCATACCGTGTTTCGCTCTCACCAGGGGGTCGATAATTTTTTTCATTTTTATTCACAACACCCGAATCGAACGTCAAACTGTCGTATTCGAAACCGAACCGAAATGACGTCACACTCGTAACGTCTCGACGGCAAACGTTATTCAGAACACAGCTATCAAATGAAAATTACCGAACGTCTTATTGTTTACAAAGCAAGAATGTTATATGGAAATATCTTATTATATTAAATAAAGTCTGGATTTTGTTCAATTTTATTAATTTATTTTTATGCATTCCTATATTTTAGGCCTTTAAAGTGTTAAAAATGTTTTTTCTTTATCTCCATTGACTTACTCAGAAAACGCTATTTGATAGTCCGAATCGAACGTTTAAGCGGGAGCAGAGGAAAAATTCCTAATCTTCGATTTGATTTTAGAGGGGTATATCCACTTTAAAGTTAAAAATAAAATATTGTATGGGTAACTACACGATACATTCGAGCATAGACATTAATCAGAAACATAACAAAAATCACGAAATGACCTCTAATTTTCACATTTGTTCGATTTATCCTCGAAATGCTACAGGTTATTAGGACAAAAATTAGATAATTAATTATATTTATGCATGATCGACAACTGACACTACTGATTCTTTTTAAGTTTTAGAGTTATTCCACTAAAACGAATTTGCGCAAAATTCTTAAGACTTTTAATGGGCAAAATTCAACATCTCCTGTCGCATGTCACGCGAACTTCAGGCATATATTTGTTTCACAAATTTGGGCGGAGTCAACGTCAAAACTTTTTTGGCATGAGAGCTCTTAACTCGAATGTTCTGAATAGTTCGGAAAGCGCCCTACAATTCGAGAACGATACCTAATCGAACGTTCTGTTTTTTGAATTTTATAAATCTATATATGTATACGTATATATTCCACTGTACGCAACAAGTATGTACGTATAGTTGGGGTAATTTATTTCTATCTTTATTTAATTTTATATCTATTTAAGATATTGTAATTTTTACTTACAGCAACTGCAACGAATATTGTTTGTTTTTGGTACATTATGACAAATTTACGGTTTCTTTTTGTAACTGTTGAGAGATTAGTTAGAAATAGTATGTGTGCAACGTAAAAATTGGAAATGTCACAGGACTCATCGTATGTGAAATGGACCGTTAGTAGACTAAAAAAAAATTATGCAAATCATGGTGGTAAAAATATCACGATATTCAATAAATAAATATTAATTTGAAATTGTTATAAATTACTAAAGACTCAGTTTACATAGCCAACGTTATGTGAATGTGTGCGTTCGAATACGTGAGGCGGACGTGCACACATACAAGCCGAGCTACTAAGTTAGTATGTACTTATCATACTCGTCCTAGGCTGCGATGCCACCAGAGATGTAGCTAGGTGTGCGAGAAAATAATCCACCAATAAGATTACTTCATTTTCCTAGCTTCGCTTAGCGCATCTCTGGTGGAGGATGGCTAGCGGAGTTAAGTATTTGTACATACAAGAAAGCGCGAGATGTGTGCGAGGTACGCGAGCGATCTCGTCCTCGCCTTCACTCACCCCACCCGGTAACCTATCACAAACTCGATTTTTTTTTCCGAAAAAACGTTTGTTCGAATTTTCATTACACCGAAAACCAAATTGTAACGAAACCGTTGTTCTTTCAGGATATGTTGGATGTGTATCGCAAAGACACGATTAGGTTAGGTTAAGTTAGGTTTAAAAGAAAAAACATTTTCCTCTCAAAATTACTTTCGAGGTTATGAAAATTCGAGCAAACGCTATTTCTGGCAAATGTCATTTCGGACTAGTGATAGATAACTCACCGCTACTTATCCTCGCTCCGCTTCACACCTTCGCTACGCCTCCTCGCACCGCCTACCTACTTCTCATAGATCTGGTGGAAACGTAGCTTAATCATATTATGTATCTAGTTGGTACGTTATACGTATGCTAAACATTTATTACCTTTGCCATGCATATACATTAGGGATATCTGCGTATTTATCAACTCATCTTCAATATTTTAAAATACGAGGTGAAGTCATTCAAAGGCAGACTAGAGCAAAAATTATGGATCTTTTATACCAACCTCGTTGCCATAAAATAATTTATAAGAATAACTGCTTCAACATGTTTATAAAATTATTTTAAATAAATTACCAAATGAAATTAAATTTTTACAAGGACATACTTTTAACATATTGCTTCTATATTAATATAGTTACATTAATTTGAAAGTACAGAGACTAAACATTGAATCCCATTAATATTTGCACATCTGCTAGCAGGTTGAATACAATGTACCTAATTTTACCTAAGACCTATATGTTACTGTATTCTGGCAAATAAACTTATTCTATTCTACATTACACAATTGACTCGAGTTAATTATGCTATGGTTAACAAAAATGTGCTTCCGTACCGTTCTGCGTCTATTTAAATTGAGCCTTTATAGCATTGTGTGAACTGGTGTACAAAAAACTCGACTGTATTACCGGTAAATATATTATTAATAACATCAGGGGGCCCTTTCCTTGTATCTCACAACACCACACGTCAATGTGGCTGTTGATGTAAATAGTTATTTTAACGTAATGTACTTCTAGATAAACGTACTTGTTTAAATACAGCACATTTTCACATAGTTAAACAGTGTGTGACGAATTTAAAAAAGAAAAAAAATATAGTGAAAAAAAGTTTTTGTTTTTTATTCTTCCTCTATTATTTGGCGAAAATTACGCCGAATCGACTCGTCGGATTTCGATTAAATAGAGCTTTCAGGCACAGATTCGAGTCCTGTCAGAGCCAAGGAATTTGTCTTTCTTAACCGACTTAAAAATGGAGGAGGTTCTCAATTCGATTTCGATTATTCTTTTTGTTAGAAAGGGCGATACCTCGGCAGCGAACTCATTCCAGTTTGAAGAACATATTTTACCTTTGTGGGCAAATTATACTCCGTCGAACCATTTAACTTTTGACAGCTCGAATTCTAATCAATTAGTGAATGCCTAATGCGTTTCAGATTCTAATTTTTATAACAATGGATTATATTTATGAAGAAGTTAATCGCGAATGTGAGCGGGTTCAAGAAAGAAGATATTGTCTGATTGGAATAGTAATGTTGCGTTTGACAATTTGTGTACTCAAGAATTAATAATTAATGAGGATACAAGTGATGATTCCCGTCCATGTGGAGGAGAATCCGACGATTCATTATAATAAACAATCATTACAATTATT